TTTTATTTATCAGTTTAAAATTTTAACGGTTTTCAGAAAAATCAAGTTTTTCACGGTAGCATCTCGAATCAGTTTTCGCAAAATAAGTAATTTATTTATTTATTCAGAAAATTACGAAAAATTGCGTACTCTGATAAGTTAAAAGTCGAGGTGTTACATTAATGATCCCCCGTGGTTCCGAGGGAGGCTTTTACGGGTCTTAATGATCCCCCGGAGTGTGCACATGATTAGCTTTAAGCCAGGGTCTTTATGACCACAAGATGCTCAGTTACAGTTTCAGTTTAGTTCAGTCCAGTACATATATACTCAAGTCATGATATAGTTATTAATGATGCTGTTTAATTAAGTACTGGTCTTTGCGGAGCATAGTGGTTTTGCTCACACCCCCATTACGTTTTTCAGGTGACGGAACGACGCGTGGTGCGTGAGATTTCAGTGGTGGTCGTGGTCATTAGCAGTCTTTTTGTTACGCATCTACATGTCATTTATTGAACATGTATTATTATTACTATGCGTAGACATATTATGTTTCAGCTTCCGCACATTTCAGACTTAGTATAAATTATGAGATTTTCAGACTCATGCCTGTTTAATGCCTTTATCTCCGTGGTACCTATATATAACTGATTTGATTAGGTTGCATGTATTTATTTACGTCTGCATGAGAAAGAGTTTAAGTTAGTAGCATCCTGCAAGTTAGAACGAGTATTTTCGAAAATAAAGTTATAGAGTTTTTCGAGAATAAAAAGCAAAAAGTTTACTCGGATTTTATTATTTTTATAATAAGTAGGTGGGTGTTACACACGTAACTCGTTTCACAGGTGATCATGGAAACACCCCATGTGCTAGTTGCCCGATACTTATTTTCACCAGAGCAGCTCGTACAAGTAATTTTAGTGATCATTATGACGAGCTCTCACAAACTGACAAGTTAGAATCCCTAGAACATCAATCAGTGAGTCCAATGATAAAGTATTCAAGGAAGCTTCTTGGGATGAACCTACATACTACAGTGCCTAAATGCTGAGAATTTCTTATATTCGACACTAACATATACAGATATATACAAATGCAATTGACTCTCATGCATTGATATTATATAGCACACATTCCTAAGGATTTCCTTAGTGACAAAAGCGTTTGGAATCAAGTGCTTTCGTAAAAATGGCAGTAAGCTGATCTTCTGTAGGTACATGATCCAACACAATAATACCATCTTCTACCAAATTTCGAATAAAATGATAGTGAATATAAATATGTTTGGTACGAGAATGTTGGATAGGATTTTTTGAAATATTTATTGCACTAGTGTTGCCACTAAAAAGTTGGGCCGACTGTACCTTTATACCATACTCAGAGAGAATTTGTTTCATCCAGATCAACTGAGAGCAACAACTCCCCGCCGCGATGTATCCGGTTTCAGCAGTAGAGAGAGAAATGAAGTTCTGCTTCTTACAGAACCAAGACACCAAATTTGGACCTATATAGAAGCAACCACCAGAAGTACTTTTCTTATCATTAAGATTTCCAGCCCAGTCAGCGTCACAATAGCCTGCAAGATGTAGGTTCGTAACAACAGAGTAAAATAACCCGTAGTCAGATGTACCTGCAACATATTTGATGATATGCTTGACTGTCTTCATGTGTGATTCTTTGGGAGCAGACTGGTATATGGCACAAAGTCCAACACTTGTTTTACTTGAAGCCCAAAGAAGTATGAAAGTTCACCTACCAAACTCATCTCAAATTCTGACGATATTAGTTTAACAAAGTGATTGACCAGCTACTTGGAAGTTGACCCAAAAATGATGTCGTCCACATAGTTTTGAACAGCCAACATGTCTTCATTTGTTCGGATAGCAAAGAATGTCTGGTCTACTCCCCCTCTCTTGACCCCTTTTTCGAGAAGGTACATGGACAGTCGTTCATACCATGCACGAGGTGCTTGCTTTAGTCTGTACAGGGCCTTCTTGAGTCTAAACATGATTAGGAATTTTTGGATCCTTGAACCCTTCAGGCTGCTTGACCTAAGCCTCTTCATACAGAATGCCATTTAGAAAGGTTGACTTCACGTCCATCTGATAGACATTGAACTTCATCAAACATGCAATTGATAAAAATATACAAACTGATTCAAGTCTTGCGACAGCGGCGAAGGTTTCGTTAAAGTGAACCCCTTGAAGTGTATCCTTGTGCAACTAGGCTCGCCTTATTGCATGACGCATTCCCAAACTCATCAGCTTTGTTCTTGAAAATCCACTTGGTACCGATAACATTTCCTGATGAAGGTTCAGGAACTAGCTCCCAAACGTCATTTCTAGTGAACTACTCCAGTTCCTCTTGCATAGCTGAGATCCAATACTCATCCTTCAATGCCTCTTTAGCGTTCTTCGGTTCAATCAACGAGGTGTAGCATGCAAGGTGAGGAACACCCATGAGTTTTTTGACTGAGTTCTTCGAATTTCTGGTTACCCTATTATTGGTGTCTCCAATGACCAATTCAGATGGAAGATCTTTCTGAATCCTCCGGGGTGGATCACGCTTTGGTTGTGCAGGACTTCCACGTATAGCAAGTACGCCGAACTCTGTCAGATTTTCTTGAAACTCCTCAACTTCATCTGAACGTTCAGTATCCTTACATTCTGCAGGTTTTTTGACATCTTGAGTATCCTGCACTCTCACAAAATTTTCACAAGGATTAAAAGACACCAATGAACCAACATGGGAGGGTTTTTGTAATGCCCAATTTATTTGTGGATATTCTAGGATTATTTACTATTGCATTATTATTATTATTATTGATATTATTATTAAATGTTTAATTGTCTTAATTGTTTATTATTATATATAAATAATTATTGTGTGTATTATGTACATATTGTATCAGCCGGTTTTATATTAATTCTCACCGCATTGAACCGAGCCTTAGAAATTTGTTAACATTGAACCGAGAGAGCCCGACCCGCGTCTTTGGCCTTTGGCCCTCGCGCCCGAGCCCTACCCGACACCCCACCCAGTTTGCCCTCTCTCTCTCTCATGTGTGTTAGGTTTTCTTGTAAGGTAAGTTTCTCCCTAACCCTAAGATCATTCTATATAAATCGTTCAACCCCTCACGTCCCTCATATCACTACTGCAGACACCCTCAATCTCTCGCATAATCTCCTCCTCTCTCTCATCGAACGTAACAGAGCAGAGAAAAGAGAAATCTTTACCTTTCTCTCTCGCTATCTCCCTCTCACCTGCTCGTTGCTGAAGAGAAGTTTCCCTTCGCATGTAATCCCGGCGTGAACCAGCAGGCCCGTCGATCGCCACCATCGACCTTGTGCAGGTTCAATCATCATCACCATCGTCTCGAAGTCTCAAGCACACCACCGCACGCCGCTGACCTTCTGTGAGACCATCACCACGTGCGCGGTCGTGTTCCGACGTTCTCCTGCCACCGTGAGCGACCTCAGGCCATTGATCGTCGCCTCCATTCACTGCCATCATTGGTCTAGCAGGCCCCGTTCACCAAGCACGCGAACCGGCGAGCCACGCGCAAGCCGTCGATCCCGACGTGCGTGCTCCCGACCCCGAACAGCCTTCTCTCGACTGTTTTGGACTATCAATCCCGAGAATAGTACTGGATGGGTTGAACTCATCGTTTAATGTATTTATGTATGTATTGTTATATGCATATGTGAGAGATTTCTTGTTAATATTGTTAGGGTTGATATAGGTGCCGGTTATATGATGTTCTATGTTGAATCATGCTGACATTTTGGTTGAGATCATGTTAAGTTGTAACCCTCCCATGTTTATGTGTGATATGATGATGTTAAGAGATGCTTAAGTGCTTATGGCATTGTAACACCCCACTTTGATTTTAAAGAAATCTCGGGGTTTCTCAAAATCATTAAAATATTTTTCGAACTCATTTTTGAAAATATGGGCATTTTTCAAAATGTTTACATAGACCAAGTCATATTTGGTCGCACGGAGATTCATTACCCGATTTTTACTTGGTTTTCATTAACCGATTCACAACATAACTCACATGTTATTCAGCTCAAAACACAATAGCATGAATAAACAAGGCAACATGATAACCAATCCAAAATAGGTTCATCAAATATTTCAAATCCAACAATCTAAAAAAATGAGTTTCAAAAACATTTCATCATGTCTTAATCCAAAACAAGGCTCAATAAGACCATGCAATTATTCGAAAGGCGGAAGCAAAATGAGACATAATAAATGGACCGACCCACTCGTGTTTTCCTCGTCACCCACCACCTATTTAACCTGCATCCGTGAAGAGTAGGTGGGATTGAGCACAAAATGAAACGTAATGCTCATCACTATGCACATATACAATAATAACATGTTAAGATGGTATGGTCGCAGCATGAATACAAAATAATCACAACATGTCTCATCTCATATCACCAGAAATAACCTTACTCTTGTGCACATCTACCGCTAGCCGCAGAATGTGGATTCATTACCTGAAGGTGGGAGTATGTGCCACTGTAACGGACACGACCTTCCATATGGGCTTACGTACCTCACAAGGGCACGACCATATTAGGACTTAAGGAGATTTGCCTCGCAAGGGCTACCGTACCGTAACTCGACGGGGACAACTGTACCGACGGTCGGAACAGCTCACATCGATAGGATACATATTTCACACTCATGCATAGATCATACCGACTCAACAATGGAAACACATATGGCAAAGCAATTTTTCATAAATAAACCCATTTGGAAATCTAGGTAGAATATCACACAAAAGCAAGTACGCAAGTCGAGGACTTGACTCCTCAAATACCTTCTTTTAAGAGAGATAATACATCAATAATCTATCTCACTAGTCGAATTTAACATAAAACCCACACTTAATAAAAATTAAGGCTTAAGGGTTTTAATCGGATTTTTCGTGGACTTGGAACTCTCACATTTTTGAAAAATAGGACTCGAAAAACTAAATTGGAGTCTCGGTGTTAATGTTATATACTGAAAGCTTGGCTTCGGATGATATTACACCTTTACCCTTTATGAATGAGAAACATGTTAGATTAAACATGTAACGCCCCGTATTTTATTAATAAAGGAAGATACTAGCTTTTAGTTTAAGCTAGCCTTTATTAATAAATATTTATGTTCATGTTCAAGTCCGAGTTTATAAGCTGGTCAGATTCCATGTTCGACTATTAGTCGATAAGTTGTTCGGTTTACTTATTTTAGTAACCGAATAGGTTTTCCAGATTTAATTTCGATTCGTTTAATTAATGAGTCCGGAATCATTTATTCAGTCAGCGACATTCTGTCA